ATAATATTGATAACAAGACACACAGTTTTACTTTCTGTCGGGTTTTGGATAGCTAGTAGTTTTGGCACCCCAGAATGAAGTAATGCACTAATAAAGATAGTTGTGCATACAATACATAAGCCCTAAGATCATAATCTCTACATGATGTCGTTTTCAAAGAAGGTAGCCCTGGAAGGACGTTGTTTGTGGTGCGGGCACAGATAGTACTAAGCTAACCGGTACTTCTGTAATAGTTTCTACAAAAAAGATAATTCTTCTGCTAGTTGATGCACTGTTTTCAAAAGTTTTGGCAAAGATCAGAAACCATAAGGGGTCTGTTCGCCGATTGACTTTACAGTTAGAAGTCGACTTAGACTGAACAGACACGTCCTAAGATTGCCGCACGCTAACTCCAACCACCTGAGAATGAAACTAATGAAAATTGTAGCTAAAAGACTACTACCCCGCATTCGGTAACAAGTCAACATACACCGACCAATCGACTGGGATACTCGGTATGGGACCGCGACGGAGGTGACCACCCATACAAATACCCCGCCTCGGTAAGACGTCGTCACGCGAATTTTTATCAAATTGCGTTACATAAGTTTTTTACGATATGGCGGGACACATGCGCCCTATTACAACTGTCAGTAATCAATAAATAAAGGAGGACACAGTGTATACCCGAGTGTTTCTCTTGTGTGCATACGGAAAAGTATGACTAAATCATATGACGTTTCTCCGAATTGTCGTTATGATGTCTCTCTCTACTGATGTCGTCAAAACGATAAGTATTATGACCGCTCAATTTTGCTGTGTTTGCCTCTGCAATAATTGACGAAAACTAGTCCCCCCTTTAGGCGTGAGCGCACTGATGTAAGTAATCACGACTAATGTAGTTTAGCCTCTAACGACTCGTCCGAACGAAGGACATGTCAAGGATACTCGTCGTACCAAGTTGGTCGTCAAAATCGCAAAAAAAAAGGTAAACGAAAGTCTAGTGTTTAGTTTGGAGTGTCTCAACGAGACAAGAGTCTGGACCTCAAATAATTAAGAGTCGCAATTAGCTAGGCGCAAGTGCGGCCTGGGTTCTCAACACGGCAAATTGAATTGTTTCTTGAGTAAAACTCGTGTATTCCACATGCTAGCTTCGAAACTACCTATACGAAATCAAACCTTGAAAAGATCCCTCAAGTATAACGAGGTACCTCTCGACAGGCCGGTGGTGTGGGACAAGTACAGCGGCAGACACAAAATACAAAATTAGGGAAAGTTTTTCGTGTGAGAAATGAAATAGAACTATATAGTAATCTTTATAAACGACACAATCAAATGACACTACAATAGCTAAATACCAGGTAAACCAGACTTAACGAGGACTATACACATAAAGTTATATACACTATGGAATCTATACAAGAATATTATTTTGTCGAATTTTTGACTTTTTTCCGATAATATCAAAAACAGCTCCAATAGGAAGGATGGGACTGAATCCGGAGAATGTGTAGACGACAAAGCGGAAAGCAACAAATTAGAGACTGATTCCGGAAATGTCCTTGTTGACACGTCGCAAGACCGTTCTGCAAGACAGAACGCACCACAAATATTGCGTAGGGTCACACGTGCCATAGGTTGTCACCTATGGCACTTCGGTAAACAGATCACCTCGAAAATATACTCACCTTATTACCTACTTCCTGTCCTGTCTGCCTAATCGACGTCCCTCCGACGAGTGGGAGGTCACAACGAGGCTACTGCAGTCCGTCACCTAGGCTAAAACTCTTCGTTAGTAGAAGGCTCCGAGTACTCAACTTGACCAACAGAACATTCTGATAAGAGGAGGAGAAAGAGGACCAACAGAGATAGCCTAGTGGTAGGCCAGAAGGGGGGAGTGGAACCCGGGCTCAGGAGACGCCACCCGTGACCAGTCCCAATAGACGTCGTCTTTGTGGGTGGTACATTTGTGTCCGTCACTACTGGCTCACACAGAGCTACTGTGAGAAACTATACATGACCCGCTTCATAAGGTGAAGTGGTAACCAGAGGGCCGTCGGGAGAGAGGAAAAACAAGTAGCGTGACAACGTAGAGCGACCTTCCATCTCGTCCTTACTTGTCGTTACAGGTCGTAGTGGCGTGGTGTCTCTCCACCGGTTTAGTGGAACGTCATCCGTTTTGGAGGCGTAGGATTATTTCTCGTACTCTGTCTTCACGTGCCTCTCTCTACAAATTTAGAGACCGACCTCAACTCCTTCGCTAAAGGTGTTTAGTGTCCAGAACTCTTTTCGAGCGTCTCCTCTAGGGTGTGTATAACATGAGTATAGGGGGTGAAGGAGGAAAGGAAGTGTTGTACGTTGTTGAGGTAAACAGGAAGACGTAGGGACAGACAGACAGCACAGATAAGACAGACAAGACCAACAGACGATAGAAGAAGATCAGACCTAGGGCCAGACAGACAGACAGACAGAAGACATATAGACAGACCATATAAGAAGACATTCAGACGTAGGGACAGACAGACAGAACTACAGACGTAGGACAGCACATGCACAGACAGACAGACAGACATATAGACAGACATCCTAGACAGACATCACAGACGTAGGGACAAGACAGTACAGACGTACAGACGATAGGTGACAGACGTAGGGAACAGACGAGACATATAGACAAGACAGACAGACAGACTAGACAGACACTACGCCATTACCACTAGGGACAGACAGACAGACAGTACCAGACAGGAGCATATAGGACAGACATACAGTACGATAGGGACAGACAGACTAGACATCAGCAACGTAGGGACAGACAGACAGACCAGCAGAACAGCCACAGACATACAGCACATCACAGAACAGCACCATACTAAGACCATAACAGCACATATAGACAGAACAGACAATATCGCAGAACAGACAGACAGACAGACATCACAGCAACTGATAAGACAGACAGCCAGCAGACAATACAGACGTAGGGACCAGACAGCACAGACAACACGACAGACGAGGGACAGACATACAGACATACAGCCAGCAGACAGACAGACAGACTGACAGACAGACATATAGAACCATATAGAATACAGACAGTACACGACCAAGACAGAACAGACAGAATATAGACTACAGTACAGACATATAGACAGCAGACAGACACGAAGTTACAGACAAGTAGGGACAGAACGTAGGGAGACAGCACAGACAGCACAGACAGAACAGCCAGCAGACAGACAGACAGCACATATAGACCATACAGACAGACAGACATATAGACAACATAGACATACAGACTAAATAGACAGACAGACAGACAGACCATACAGACGTGGGACAGACGGTAGGGACAGACAGACAGACAAGACAGACAGACAGAAGACAGCTAAGGGACCGACAGACCAGAACAGTAATAGTAAGCACAGACAAGCATATAAGACATACAGAAGACAGACAGTACAGACAGACAGACAGACAGACCATATAGACAGACATATAGTCCATAGACGCACAGACAGACAGATAATAGCAATATAGACATACAGACAGCAGACAGAAGAACAGACACATACAGCCCAGCGCAGACCATCAGTACGACAAGCACAATATAGACCAGAATATAGACAGACATACTAGACAGACGACAACGACAGCTAATTATAGACATACGACACAGACCAGACATACAGACCAGCGCAGACAGAAGACAGACATATAGCAGACAATATAGACAGAACAGACAGACAACGACAGACAGCAGACAGCAGACAGACAGACGTACAGACGTACAGACGTACAGACGTAGGGACAGACGTTAGGACAGAACAGACAGACAGACGTAGGGACAGACGCAGACATCGACTAGACATACAGACAGACAGACCAGACAGACAGCCAACAGCATAAGACAGAACAATATAGCAGACAGAAGACAGCAGCAGACATATAGACCATACAGTACAGACAATACAGCCAGCACAGACAGAAGACAGACAGACTGGCCTACATACTGTATGTTAAATGGATATATCCGCCTTCTTTCGTTTATCTTTCCATTCCCACAACAATATACATAAAGAAATGGCATATTTTGGACATAGTTCGAATGGTGATTAATCATGATTAATAGATTTTTAAGCTGTGATTAATCTGATAAAAAATTGTAATCGTTTGACAGCCCTAAAAGTAACACATCAGGAGTATCAGAGTGCAGCATGCCGAGTCACTGGGTTGGGATTTCCCCAACGCGGCTTCATGTTACACCGATGACCCAGATCATGACAGCAGCCAAAACTCTCCATGAATGAGATTCCCATCAGTCTCTATAACTTACCTATGGCTTTTGGTTTGTTTTCAGAAAATCCAGTGCGAACAGGAAAAGGGCCAGAACTAATTTGCAACAATATATCGTCCCTTTGTCTTGTCTGGACCAAACTACAGATGGCTGTCAGTATGCAAAGAGACACATTGTCACGTACAATGAACACAGTGCAGACTCAAAACCAGTCAGAATTAGTACAAGTCGTGCCAATGGGACGGTGTTATTGCGTGGTGACCTGGTGCTGCATTAGCTAAAAGGTCCAACCAATACAGTAATGACATATTTTTCAATAATTCCCCATTTCATTCCTGTCCTATAAAATAAAAATGCCTTTCTCTCCACGACTAATAGCCCATTAGTTCACCCAAACGATTGATCCCACATTTTCCTGTTTCAAAAGGAAATACATCACATTAAGGAGGTAATGATGCCATTTCACGCTGCCCCGTTTTATATTTCACTTCAATAATACTAGGTTATATGTGCAATTTGGAAGTCCTTCTTCTCTATAAAGAGGAGTTTAGTGTCACTTAAGTGTCTGCCAGTGCCAGTTGCTGCAGGTTGTTCTGTCATCAGACAGGTGTGCATCCGACCTGCAGCTTAGAAGATATGTCGAGGTTAGTTCAAACAGATGGAAACCAGCCCGGCTGCCCCTTCATGCCATCAGTAGAGGAACATGCATGGATCAGTAATAAAGGTTTTCAGAGCAATCGGCAGAAAGACTGACTGACAGACACGAGACTGACAGGCGGGGGCATATGCACACGAGACAGGCGGGAAAGAAAGGGGACATTGATCCGTGAAATGGGTTTTAGTCTTTGAGCCAGGGTTGATTACTAGGTGTGTTTTCACTCCGCCTTCTCTCCGTCTATCTGCTTTTCCAATTAGGAGATAAGGCCGAGTCAATATCAAGCACGGCAATGTGTTTGTGTGTGTAGTTAGGCACGAGTGCGATGGTGTTTGTTTGTGCCAGTGTGGTGTGTGTGAGTGTGGTGTGTGTTAGTGTGGCGTGTGTGGATCAGAAGGTTTAGGGAAACTGCGTGAATGGATTCATCGTTGTCATGCCGGTCACCATTAGCCCAAACTTTGAAGTGGAAACTCCCTGATGTTTTTTTTTCCTTATACTCAGCAGTACAGTCATAGAGTGTAAAAAAAACAGGAGAGGACAAGACATTACAGTGAAGTGTGTGTGTGTGTGTGTGTGTGGGTGTGGGTGGGTGTGGTTGTGGTTGGAGTTGCAATATATGACACTATGTATAACACTTTCCGTGACCACACCTTTCAGACAACTTGGCATTTGACCCTAACTGCAGCATTTTTATGAGAATGCATGATATACATGTATGGCTGTGTATGTGCCCGAGTTAAATTAGTAACATTTGCAAAAGCAGTAAAATCCTAACCAGTCTGCCCGTTGTGACTTTTCCCACAATCCACCGGCTGGAGAAACAGTCTGTAACTCATTACCCGTGCTTTGCCGTTGCCAAATGTTGCTCCACTTACTCTTTGGATCCACTGGACTCACTCCTCAGTTGTTAAAATCCACGTCATGTGACACTATGTGTTATCCATCATCTGTCAACACATTGTTTTGTTGGAGTTAGAGGGTTTTATGCCATCAGCTGCACAGTTACGATCATGTCTGAGAAGTGAACAGTCTTAGTTGTTGTTTGTGTTTCTGAGGGCAGAACAAATAAATAATGAACCGCTGTGTATTAAACCTAAGAGGGTGTCTCTGTTATTACAGTGAATCATGTTGTGCCATCATCCATTTTCCTTTTATGCAGTGAGTATGTGCAACCACAGACTGAGAATCTGTGTGCGTGTGTTTTTTAACAAGCTCCGGAGGCAGCTGCAGGATAGAGTGTATTATTGACCTCCTCTCCTCTGTCGCTTTTACATTCCTCCTGTCAGGATCAGCGGTGGAGAGAGGAAGCATTCCAGCGCTCTGGATGATGGCGGGGAGGGGGGGTTATGACGAGGGATCATTTTCCATTTGGTTTTCTGAGAGTTAAATCTGACAGAGTTTGGAAATCATAAGCTGGTTTGAGCGGTTTGAGAAGTTCACTATTGACAAAAAAACGCGTAAATGATGTGCTGGGACAGTGAATGAGACGCAGGTATCATGGCTTCCTGCAGAGTGTCTGGACCTACAGCCGTGTGCCTCTGTGTCTGTCACTTACTCCTCATTTTTATTGTTGAAGAGTAACATTGAACATATTTTCTGCCATCTGCAGTGCTAATCAATCCATCTGTTTCCTGTGTATTGTTTACAATGAACAGAGCATTCTTTCAAAGCGGTTTCCTAGAAAATTAATTTTGGTCAGTGAGAAGATTATGACAGACTTGTATTTCTTTGACAATGTGGACATGATGGACAAACCATGGTAAAGCCAATGCAAAACAGTATTTGTATTTCTTTGCGACACATAGTTTATTCAGAGACATCTTTTATGAGAAAATAACGCAGTGTCCTTTTCATTTCAGTTAATCGTTTATTTGCACATTGATGAACACTTTAAACAAAATAATGCTTTATTTTTTTAATTTTTTTTCCAGTTATAAAATAATCTCCAGATAACGGAACAAACAACAAAACATGTCACAACTAAACAAAACATAACGGGGGGATGCAAGGATGACTTCCTAAGACAGCTGATTGTGACATACACAGGACATTACATACACAATACATTACACAGGGGATGCCATATTGACAGGGTCAGATAGGAGAGCTGCGGACAGTGAACCGCAATCCTTCCTGTCTCCCCTCAAAATCCCCCAGCAGAGAAGCTGCACGCTCCATGTTCAGTAAACAAAATAATGCTTTCAAATATAATTGAGCCGGATTTTAGCTTTGAGCTCATTTCCATCCGTAGTCCCGTCACAAACAACATTTCTGAACATGACAGTTATATACATGGCAAAAATAAATACATGGTATGCAGAAAGAGCATGAGCAGCAAGCATTAACCACATGGCAGTACAATGTAGCAGCTACGATATATAAAGTGCGAGAGAAGATACCGTGTAGTGTGTACATGTGTGTTTTTTGTGCAGCATCTACTACAGTCTAAATAACACAAAAATAAAACTGCCTCAAATGTCATCAATCACTCTTGCAGGAACCCGCAAGATGCTCTTTCTTGCAACCCCAAGCTGTTTTATTGGCCAAAGTAATGAATGTGTTTATACGCCGCAATATGGCTTCAATCTTCTGTCACTGAATACGACGTATAATGAAAGTATCGTAAAATACAGCAGGAGACTTTTATGGAAATGCATCTGAGAATACTTTTATAGATAGCCAGGTGGGAATGTGTGCTGCTGCTTTACCACTAAACAATCAAAAAAACGTCTGTAAGGGTTCAATGTGTTAGACGAGCAACCTCAAGCTAGTTTCTCTGCAAACACTCAAGTAGAAAAAACTCCTCCCATGGCGGCCTGGGAGATATAAGATAAATATGAAATCCATAATTCTGCTTCGGGATGTTGTCGGGGGTTACGTAAACAAGTCAACCTTTGTACTTAATGACGCAAACAATGCAAACCTCAGGGAATATTGTCGAGAAGGATTCAAATAAGTCACTGTGTGTGTGTGTGTGTGTTTGTGTGTGTGTGTGTGTGTGTGTGTGTGTGTGTGTGTGTGTGTGTGTGTGTGTGTGTGTGTGTGTGTGTGCTACACTGCTCTGATAATGACTCAGTCTCTAATTAGCATCACTAATCAACTGTCATCACGCTGACCCAATATTCCTGTGTATCCATCTTTATCCGCCTAAATTTGGGAATATACGCTCGGCTGCTCGCTCATTATAATCTGTTTTCAGCGTTTGAAGTCCATCAAATATGCTTTTTCACGAGGTCATAAACAATGATCTGATGAATGTAGGGATTCCATAACTGACTAATGCGATTGAGTTGATGTTTGAGTCCCAGTTATTTGACTCTCCCTTGTGTGGACTCACTTTAGCTGCAGCTCTTTGTAGCAGTCTCTTACGATTAGACAGAGGTTGGATTGTGAAGTCTCTACCAGTGTTTTTCTCTTCTCTCGCTCTGTCTCTGTCAGCTCAGTTGTGTCTGTGTTCAAACAACTTCTTGCACATGTGGTTTCCTTTTATATAACATGTCTGTGTGTGTTCGATGCAATTCTCACACTTCCTCTTATTGTTTCTCTAGTGTTTTGTGTGTTGTCTGTTCAGTCCTGAAGTCATTTCCATATTTGCAGTTGTCACTCAACATCAGAGTTTCAAATAAAATGTATTCTGATTCTGTTTTGTGTTCTCTTTGTAGGTGCAAGAACAAGCTATACCCCGATAATCTTCCTCGTACCAGCGTGGTGATTGTATTTCACAACGAGGCGTGGAGCACACTGCTGCGCACCGTCCACTCCGTCATCGACCGCTCTCCACACACTCTGCTGGAGGAGATTGTCCTGGTGGACGATGCCAGCGAGAGAGGTATAAACACACACACACACACACACACACACACACACACACACACACACACACACACACACACACACACACACACACACACACACACACACACACACACTGCACATAATTCCTTCAGTGCCTCTGCTCCTTGTTCGAGGCTTAATCTATTTTTTTCAGAGCTACTGTATGATTTTGCCGGGCTAGTGTATGTGTGTGTGTAGCAGTGTTTGTGCACGTGTGTGTGTGTCTGTGCTGATGCCCAACAGCCCGTCAGCATATATGGCCTGTGTGTGCCACTCCACCCTGTGCAATGCTGCTAATCCCTGTTTGGGGGAGATTAGGTCTTTAATTCGCCAGCCGCAGGGATTACACTCTGTTATTACCCTCAATCCCCCCCCCCCATCCGCCACCCTGCAGCACCATGTCACCCGACGGGACCTCGAGGTGCAAATCAGAGGGCGTGGGTGTTTCTGTGCAGGGGGGGGGTGCAGGTAGGGGAGCTCTCAGCAGGTAGAGGGATTGTCGGCAGGCATGCTATGACGCATTCACAGAAACAAAAACACACACACACACACACTTCCCTTTGATCTGTGTTGCTACAAGAGGAATAGTTTAGAGGAGTGGCTTGAAATCCATCTCCTGGTTTGTGAGGCAAGTAGTTTTGAGGCTTTGTTTATAATGCTGACATTCAGTTTATTAATAAAATGTGAATCCCTCACAGCGTTTTCTGTCTATTGATTGTGTTTCAACCTTTTATTTTTGCAAAGTTGCACATAAATATTCAGCTACACTCCTTTCATCGTTGTTTTTAGGAGTAGATTTCCTGTAAGTAGCTGAGTGAGATTGTTTCCGACTTGTTTTATGAAAAATCCCAATAACTGTAATGTCTAAAAGTCCAATTTAAAAAGATTGTTGCAATCTTTTTCAAAATGAACAACATGTTTCTATCAAAATATTCAGATGAAATCCTGTTTTGTTGGCATTTACAAACAAGGTGTCCTGCGTTTGTAAAACTGGTTGCGTTCCCAATGCCTTCCACTATTTCAAGCACCCACTGACAAGTTATAAAAAAATACTAATTAAATTCAAATACATTTTGAATCAAAGATTTTGTGATTTATTGTTTGCAAGAAGGACATTCGAAGCTTTATTGGAAACAACAATAGTAGCTTTGAATGTAATAAAATGAATATATCTACATTTGATATATTTTGACAATTGGTACAGCCTAGCTGAGTTTGTCTTGTTTGCTTACCTGTGTTTATTTCATTATTCTATTACATAAATGTGTTTGTTTGTATATTTTAAGATTTCCTGAAGCGGCCCTTGGAGCAGTACGTCAGGAGGCTGGAAGTCCCGGTCAGAGTGGTGAGGATGGAGCAGCGGTCTGGTCTTATTCGCGCTCGTCTTAAGGGAGCGTCGCTCTCCACGGGCCAGGTGTGTGTGCTCATGCACATATGTGACTTCCATACCCAGAGATCTGCTCACCATATGGTGTGTGCACCACTCAGTTTGTCTAATGTTTTCTCTCCATGTTTCTAGGTCATAACCTTCCTGGATGCTCATTGTGAATGCACAACAGGGTGGCTGGAGCCTCTGCTCGCCCGCATCAAGCAAGACAAGTAAGAGACACACACACACACACACACACACACACACACACACACACACACACACACACACACACACACACACACTACCTCAAATAAATCAATACACTTTTGTTGAGCCTGCAGGGGGCTTGTCCCGGTGATTATTTCATTCTTAATGACTTATTCTTGGTTTACTGCAAACAGGTGCTCAAGCTCACACACACACAGACACACACACACACACACACACACACACACACACACACACACACACACGGTTTACTTGTGATTGATGACTACCTGAGTGATGGACAGCAGGCTGATGAATGTGCCATGTTGATGTTTGTCGTAGGAGTACGGTGGTGTGCCCCATCATCGATGTGATCAGTGATGACACGTTCGAGTACATGGCGGGATCCGATATGACGTACGGGGGCTTCAACTGGAAGCTCAACTTCCGCTGGTACCCTGTACCGCAGAGAGAGATGGACCGCCGCAAAGGAGACCGCACGCTGCCAGTCAGGTGGGTGACACAGCGGGAGGATCCGGGGGGTGGGCCTTGCCTTTTTGAGGAATCTTTTAAACTTTCTTTAAATCCCCAGCAGCCCCAGGGTGATGTTGTACAGCTGACCCTCACCCTTCCCTGTGTGGTTAAGTGAGAAGAGAATGTGCCTACAGGGACAAGATTGAATCATTAATAAAGTACCACATGATCATTCACTAACTCTGTCAGTCAGCTGTTTATAATAACTTGTAGCCTGAGAGCGTTAGCGTTGCTGAAAGGCATTCACAATTAATTGTGCACTGAGTAATCAGACTCTACCACAGTTATTAATCTTAAAACGTTCTCTAGGCAGAAACACTCACGGAATAGATTGAACTTTCCTCTGTGGCTTAAGTCAAAATGCTTATGTTATGTAAGACTCTGTGTAGCTTGTTTTTTGCCATCATTTCTCACGGCTCAGAGCTGATTCCTGCCTGTCCATCATCTCTTCTTCCTGCTCTTGTTTCTAAGCTCGCTTTACAGCATTATTCAAGGTCACACGCATAATATGTCTTATGTAACGCTCCGTGCGGCTGTTTTCGGTTGTTTTTCACAGTTAGGCTTGACAGCAGTTTCCTAAGGGTGTTTTGTAAACGTCCTAAAAAACAAAAGGGGTTTGTAGGATCAGGGTAGGATATGATGAAGTGCTTAAGACTAATGACATGATTTACATAAGCCATGTTCTGTTATGAAATCTTTCTATATTAAAGAGAAGATTTAAAAACGTTACCACATAAACACGTATTCTGAATGAAGCCGGTTTATAAGGTTTCAGTTAGCTCCATTATAGTTCCTGTAGTGCAGAATTAGCATGTGGGAAATGAGTCGATCAAATGGAATCAGTCAGAAAAGAGTAACAGATTCTCACGTCTGCATTTGGTGTAAAATAGCTGCTAATTCAACAACGCTTTGTTCATTATGTATTGCATGACAAGCCACAGGCCTGCTGCTGTTACACTGATGAGATTCATTCAGTCACGCAGAGGAGGAAACCTTGACAGCTGAACTGGTTATTATGGGCTTGTCTACCTTGTAATTTACAGTACTGTGCAACAGTCTGAGGTCATTTGGAAAGTTTTCCTTTTAATCCAAGGTTTAAAGAAGACGTATAAAAAGTCCTCTGAACACACAGAATGACCTTGTGTCGACTGAGCTGTTATTTCAGACCGAAAGCTGAGAAAAGTTTAAATTCTTAGTAGAAAATACTGCGCTGTATTTACAGTTGTTGGTTTTATTGTAGCGTGTTTGTGTTTATCTCAATGTCACAGTGTGAAATAAACACATTTGTGACGTCTCTTTTTAGGTCACTGTTTAGAGGAATGTCTTTAATAAGAAATGTTAAGCTAAGGGTTTAGAGAGCTTAAAGTAAAAAGAAAAGCACACATTTCTATTATTGTGGTTTATTATACCGTCATAAATAAATGGTTTATATTATTTATAGTTGTTAAAAAACATCTGTGTGTGTTGTTCATGGGCTTCTGTTTGTGTTTCTTATTATTTCCTACCTTCAGCCGAACGCTTTACCCTCTGTGCACTCAGGATATGTCTCATCTGTGTGGCCTCTAGTATGCGATGTATTATGTGTTGGAAAGGGAACTTGGATGTATAATGAAAGCTAAACAGGCAGTTAAGAAAATAAGCATGATATAAAAAGAAGGAAACCATTCTTTTAGTGGGAAGTATAGGGTAGAGCCTCGAGTCTATTTCACACTCGCACACAACAGGGAGGTGAACAGGGAATGACAAAACAGGAAAACAGCAAAAAACAGGGAGCGCAGCGTAAAGTAAAAAAAACCCTGACCTCTTAAAAATCAGGCCTTCAATGAATTAAGTGCCATTAACCCACCTTGCTCTCAATTTACACGGCTGTCTCCTTTCTGTCCAGGACCCCCACCATGGCAGGCGGCTTGTTCTCCATAGACAGAGATTATTTCCAGGAGATCGGCACTTATGACGCAGGCATGGACATCTGGGGAGGAGAAAACCTGGAAATCTCTTTCAGAGTGAGTGAGCACACTCGCAGCCAACTCCCATGACTGTATTCTTCCATGCACTGGCAGTCATTCAGGAGTGTCTGAAACACACACATTCACATTACACTGACTGCTCTGACTAAATTGTTGATTTAGCTAATACTCCGTCAGTCGTCAAAATGACTGGCAAACGTATTCAGACTGTCACAACTCAGACCTCTCCCAGCGGAGGCCTCACAGTGTGGTTATTCCACGTACTCCATGTGTGTGTTGATGCCAAATCTGTTGTGTTTCACAGATTTGGCAGTGCGGTGGGACTCTAGAGATTGTCACATGCTCTCACGTGGGCCATGTGTTCAGAAAGGCAACTCCCTACACGTTTCCTGGAGGAACGGGACAAATCATCAACAAAAACAACCGACGCCTGGCAGAAGTCTGGATGGATGAATTTAAAAACTTCTTCTACATCATCTCCCCTGGTGTGTGTGTGTGTGTGTGTGTGTGTGTGTGTGTGTGTGTGTGTGTGTGTGTGTGTGTGTGTGTGTGTGTGTGTGTGTGTGTGTGTGTGTGTTTGTGTTCTAATGAAAGTATGCATGCATGTGCTCATGTGTGGAGTTTAATCTCTGTAGCAGGTGTGATCTTTCCATTAACCCGGTGACAGTGCGATATTGCAGCGGTTGCAGCGGGATGGGGGGGCGGCGAGTAATTTCACGCTCGAAGCTTCTATTGACTTGCACACACACACACACACACACACACACACACACACACACACACACACAAGCTGGCAAAGGAGACGCAGCCAAAAGTAAAGCAAAAGACACTCAATAGAAAATATTTGTAGAGGTTAAGCACCTTTTAAAAACTTGCTTGGAACACACTCAATGATTCCATTATTGTTTAGCAGGCTCTCGTCGGAGCTGTAATGCTATTGTTCAGAGCCGGCCAAATCTGCTCGGTTCACAATAAAGAAAAGTAACAGCTGCTGATATTTTAATGTGGCCCCCTGCAGGCTGGGAAAGTAACGGATGCTGCAATTGTAACACTTACCCACCTGCATGCTGTGACTCTTAACAGCTGAGGCCTGATAGACAGAGTGAACAATCATTTTGTTTTGAAGTCATTTCCAGTGTTCATGTTAGTCTTTTCAGTTTTGGGAGGGTTTTTTTTTTGCCATGAGCAGTCTGTAGGAACTAAGGTGTCCATCATAGTCAATACAGTCCACACCGAAGACGTTAATGGTAGCCGTGCCCAGAGCACTCACAACGATGTCAATCGAGGATACTGCCTCAAAGATTATTCATGTCACTCACAGCAACCTGTACAGGCTGTTACTCTTTCTGAGCCTTATTTCTGCTGCAGATGTCTGGCTCGGTCGCAGTTAGATGTTTCTCCCTTTCTTAATGCTGTCTGTTAGGCTCTGGTTAGCTCTGGTGGTTTCCCAGCAGGGGAACCAACACTAGGCGGTTATGAATCATTGAAGAAAAAAGGAAATGCGGACATTTCAGAGATCTGTAACCAGGCTGTGCTTCATGTTAGACTAGAGGGATGTTTCCAGCTCTTCGGGAGAACTTTGATAGCATTTTCACTGGCTGGTCCGACCAAACACAGCCTCTAACAATGTGCAGCAAGGATACTTCACACTCATCAGAGAGGGATCCGACCAGAATACTCAGGGCAGCTACCCCAACACAAGCTATTTAGTATATATCTTTTAGAACCACACATAACTACTGGCCACAAAGTGAAGTAGCCGGCAGGACTGGTTCAAATGTTTGGACACTTTTATAAAAACGACATGTTTTTGGGACTTCTTTTGTAATTGTCATGAAACCAAACAGACTGCAGCTGCTGCCCTCTGCCAGGAAGCAAGCTCCACCTAGTCTATAGAGATTTCATATTCATGTGTCACTGTAACAATAGCCCTTTTTGAGCTTTTTGAAAGGACATAAAAACTCTTTGCAATGATATATTGGGTCTGGGTGCTTCTCATCAATGTGTGGCCTCATTGCACTTTACCTATTAAGTCCTTCAATAATCCTTACATGGTAACATTGATTTAACCGCCAGTCAGCAGACATTATGAAGGTAGTTTAGTGCCATCGAGGCTAACCTTTATGTTACTGTCTGTTTGCGTGTGTGTCCAGGTGTGACCAAAGTGGACTACGGTGACATCACGTCTCGCACGGGTCTGAGACAAAAGCTCCAATGTAAACCCTTCAGCTGGTACCTGGAGAACGTCTACCCCGACTCTCAGATCCCCAGACACTATTACTCCTTGGGAGAGGTAACTCATTCAGACAAGAGATGCATCTGTGACTCACTGCCTATTAGCTCAGATCCAAGCAGATACAATGAATCTGTATCTGTTTGAATTAGAGGTGTGGCTCGTTGTTGAAGTCATAATGTTTTTTTCTTTCTGTGTGTGCTCTGCTCAGATCCGTAATGTGGAGACCAACCAGTGCCTGGACAACATGGCCCGAAAGGAGAATGAGAAAGTCGGCATTTTCAACTGCCACGGCATGGGAGGCAACCAGGTATCTGAGGAAGAAAGAAACATACTGACACAAAACAAGGATTTGATTCATATTCCAACCCTTCAAATCTGGTTCTTAGCTTTGGGTACTGACAGAAAGGATGACATTTATTTATTAGGATAAACCCCTTGAGACGCCCCCTCTCGTTTTCAAGGGGGTCCTGACAAAAGCAACGTCTTACAGACATACATGAACAAAATAACAGAAAGCAAAGCATGACAAACAAGGACAAACCACGTACAGTCTGTTAAGTAAAATTCATGAAGTAATACATACAATCATTACAATTTGATAGACAGTAGTGTCTAATAGATCTGTTTCATCAATAACAAGAGCAGACCAGCTGAAGGTGAGATGATAATACATGCTTAAACATACCCAATGATGCAAGGGACCTAATAGTAGCAGGTAAAGTATTCCAGTCGGTCGGGGCTTTAAACATGAACGCTCTTCTGCCAAATTGGAGAAAGAAGTGTCTGAAATGGTCTTTATTTCTAACAGGAGTAATGGAGTAGTGTTTTTAAACTTCTGTTTGTTATGTGCAGGTTTTCTCTTACACGGCCAATAAGGAGATCAGGACAGACGACTTGTGTCTCGACGTGTCCAAACTGAACGGACCCGTCATGATGCTCAAGTGCCATCACCTCAAAGGCAACCAGCTCTGGGACTACGACCCTGTGGTGAGTGGGAGAATCTATGAACAGAAGAGGTGTATGTGAGGACATGTACTGGTACAGTAAATGTACAAATATGAACACAAACACAGAGGGTTTTTCTTGCAGGTCTTGAAAGGTACATACAGACTTTGGTTTCTGTTCTGCAGACTTCAGAGTAATTTGCGTTTTACTGCACACCAGAAATCCTAGAAGGTGATATAGTATGGAGTCTTATCATTGTTGTGTTTCGTGTGAAAAACAACGATAACACTGGGGAAATTAAAACCGTAAAGCAGACAAAGTGATTTTCATCTCAATGTTCCCACACATACTAACTACACTTTGGATACACTGATCACTGTAGTGTACAACAAGCAATATCCTCATGCAGAAGCACTGTTCAAAAAATACCTATATTACCCATAATATACGGGGAAGAGAACAATTGATGGGAAAAATGCTGATTATCTAACAAACTAAGTAAAGGAATTGTTTACACCTTAATTTTCATCTTGTTTTTTGTTGGTTTTTTAACTGTTTTCAACTGTTTCTTTATAAATAAAAAGGGACTCTTTTTCACAGATATTTTCAAAAACTGAAACATTTTGTTCCCAGAGTAAACACAGTGTGACACCATAAGGACCACTTGTCATTTCAGTTGGTGGAATATTTATTGCTGTCAGATTTAGGGTGATTATAAATCACATTACACAACTCAAACCACAGCATGCCTCTCACTGAGAAAATCAAAACTAAATTACGCCTCAAAATTAAAGTCAAAACAATTAGACACCCTGCCTCCAGATTGGTATTTATTAACATGCCCTTGTGAATTCCAATCATTACATCAAAAGCATGATTTTTGCCCTCCTCACACACACTCTCTCTCTCTCTCTCTCTCTCTCTCTCTCTCCTCAGAAGCTGAGCCTGATCCACGTCAACAGTAACCAGTGTCTGGACAAGGCCAACGAGGAGGACAGCCAGGTGCCCTGCGTCAAAGACTGCACACACACACGCTCCCAACAGTGGCTGCTGCGCAACGTCACACTACCGGAAGTCTTCTGACCACACTCCGCACACTCCCAAACACACACACTCATACACACAGCGGCCCAGAGTGAGCAATCAGGGGAACAGACGTGTTTATTATTACATTCGGGCACAAGGAAAGTAAAGACTTCCCACGAGGGGATTCGCGAAGAGAGGAGGACGCATTGGACGGTACTACCTCTGCCAGAGATCAGAGGGAGGAGCGTGTTTGACCCTCCTCAGAGCGAGAGAAGAGGAAAGACTCCCTCTAGGAGACGATGGCTGTTGTTTTACATTTGTTTTTTGTTTTTTTAAAGAGAATTTAAACTGAAGAGAGTGACTCGCTCGCTGGGCGCGGATATGAGACCAGTGGAGAGGAGGTTTTCACTCACAGCTTCAATGGACACAGCAGTCCACCCTTCAACTCACCACGTTTACTGACTGACTGACTGACTGACTGACTGACTGACTGTGTGTGTGTGTGTGTGTGTGTGTGTGTGTGTGTGTGTGTTGTGTGTGTGTGTGTGTGTGAGAATGTGTGTGTTCTCTGAGATGAATGTATGCTTTTGAGAAGGGGGCTGAATGCCTTTGTTGATTTTTTTTAATTAATTTAGTAAAGGATTTTGAAAATGAACGACTATGAAGAAGAGCGCATTTGAGTGTGTGTGCGTGCGTGTGTGTCAGAGCCCCTCCTACAGTATTGCAGCAGTGAATGTCTCCCTCTGGTGTTACTCCTCGGCTTCTCATCCTACAGACTGAAGCTTCCCCGCTGAGGAATTTTGACGGGACTGCACAAACTGAAAAAAGGAAAGGACCCGACGTCTGCCATCCGCAGAGATCTAGAGATAGAAATATGATGTTTGTGATATCTTGAGATTTTTATGTCAAGTTTTTACATTGCTTTGTCCTGTGAGAGTGCCACAGAGCAGTAACCCTAGTCTGTCTGTCGTCTTTAAAGATGTTTAACATAGAGCTTACATACAGTACACACACACAGAACAGTAACTGATATTCACTGCCTTATGTAGTGTTAAACTATAGGAAATGTCCCATAAGGCACTACATAGACACACACACATCCTGTATACATATAGGAAAAGGTGGCTCTAGCCTGATACTTTAATCCATTTTGTCATATCTTCTTCTCAATGACCTCTTAAAAAATACACTCCAAGGGCTTCTTTCCTCCAGTGGAGTGTGTGGATAGATGGATGGATGCGTGTGTGTGTGATTGAGATTGAGGGTATGTCTTCAGTACTAATCCCCTGTCCATCAGATCCCTGTTTACCAGAACAAACAGCTCTCAGATTCCTCGCTGTTGGACAAACAGCCTGTAGCGTAGACTGACGTCAGATCAGCGTGTCCCTGCGTCTGTTGTACATAAGAGCAGAAGCTGCTTTTATTTTCTAAACAGAGCCGAGTCTCTGCACTCTCCCGGGGACATATCTGCAGCAGGAAAGGAAGCCTGGAAAGCGGTTGTTAGAATATCAAAGAGACGTCGCTGAGGTGTTAGCAGACTTAATCAGGGACAGATTAATAATTGTGGAGCATTGAAGGGAGTGTGGAGTTGAACTGTGGATTACAGAGAGCACAGCAGCGGCAGCAGGCATATCTTAATCCATTACTACATATCTCACTGTGCAAATTCACCCGCAGTATTTCACTATTCATATCTCAGTCAGCCAGACAGCTGAGCGCTTACATCAGTGTGTCTTTTTTCAACCATCATGCTTTCTTTATTCTGTTTCTTTGTATCACTCCTGCGAGTCAGAGCAGGAGAGGCGGTTTCATAAAGGTTTTCACCATTTGAGCTTCCTCCAGTGGAGGAGGGTTTACACATAGGACACTGGATCATCTTCGTTGTTGACATGGTGGTGAGAGGAGGCTGTCGACTGATTTTATTTCTGAGCGAGTGACTGTATGGGAAAGATGTGAAAGGTTTTTTTGATTGTGCGACAGAGGGTGTGTAACGATGTTCAGATTCTTTGGGGGGGGTTGAAGTTACACTGACATGTCCAGGCTTCCACACTGAGCTGATCCAAATGTAGAAAATAAAGGTGAAAAGTTTACAGAATAATACCAGGACATGATCATTTCTGCCTCTTTTTGTCTGTACACACACACACACACACACACACACACACACACACACACACACACACACACACACACACTCATAAAACACAATTTCCTCACAACGTTAAATTACT